TTGTTCCTTAAGCCCATTTTCTACTAAATACCCAAGTGTGTCTCCTGCTTCTGATATTTAGTCTGGTATTTAGTTACAGCAATTATTTGCTTATTTACTTATTCAGTGACAACCAGTTATTTTTTACTTATTTATTAATCAATCACATTCATATTTTACTCACATATTCTCAACCTATGATGGGTTCTTCAGAATGTAACCCCATCGAAAGTCGAGGAGTATTGTACAATCCTTTTTGTGCATCAGCCGTCCCCAACCAAGGAATGATGACCCCCCCCCCCCCCCAAAAAAAGAAAAATACTACATACATACATACAACATACATACATAACATACATACATACATACAAAACCATACATAATACATACATACATACATACATACATACATACACATATAATATTTTATATTTATAATATATATATATATATATATATATATATATATATATATATATATTATATATTATATATAAATATAAAATTTATTTTTTTATTAGCATACTGGCCGATCCCCACCAAGGCGGGGTGCCCGAAAAAGGAAAACTTTCCCCCATCATTCACTCCATCATGTCTTGCCAAAAGGGGTGCTTTACACTACAGTTTTTAAACTGCAACATTAACACCCCTCCTTCAGAGTGCAGGCACTGTACTTCCCATCTCCAGGACTCAAGTCCGGCCTGCCGGTTTCCCTGAACCCCTTTCATAAATGTTACTTTGCTCACACTCCAACAGCACGTCAAGTATTAAAAACCATTTGTCTCCATTCACTCCTATCATACAACTAAACGCATCCCCGCTGGAAGCCAAGCCCCTCGCACACAAACCTTTTTCCCCCCTCCCTCCAACCTTTCCTAGGCCCACCCCTACCCTGCCTTCCTTCCACTACAGACTGATACACTCTTGAAGTCACTCTGTTTCGCTCCATTCTCTCTACATGTCCAAACCACCTCAAAAAACCCTTCCTCAGCCCTCTGGACAACATTTTTGGCAATCCCGCACCTCCTCCTAACTCCAAACTACGAATTCTCTGCATTATATTCACACCACACATTGCCCTCAGACATGACATCTTCACTGCTTCCAACCTTCTCTTCGCTGCAACATTCATCACCCATGCTTCACACCCATATAAGAGCGTTGGTAAAACTATACCCTTATACATTCCCCTCTTTGCCTCCAAGGACAAAGTTCTTTGTCTCCACAGACTCCTAAGTGCACCGATCAGCCTTTTCCCCTCATCAATTCTATGATTCACCTCATCTTTCATAGACCCATCCGCTGACACATCCACTCCTAAATATCTGAATACATTCACCTCCTCCATACTCTCTCCCTCCAATCTGATATCCAATCTTTCATCACCTAATCTTTGTGTTATCCTCATAACCTTACTCTTTCCTGTATTCACTTTTAATTTTCTTCTTTTGCACACCCTACCAAATTCGTTTCCCCCAACCTCTGCAACTTCTCTTCAGAATCTCCCCAAAAGCACAGTGTCATCAGCAAAGAGCAACTATGACAACTCCCACTTTATGTGTGATTCTTTATCTTTTAACTCCAAGCCTCTTGCCAAGACCCTCGCATTTACTTCTCTTACTACCCCATCTATAAATATATTAAACAACCACGGTGACATCACACATTCTTTTCTAAGGCCTACTTTTACTGGGAAATAATCTCCCTCTTTCCTACATACTCTAACTTGAGCCTCACTATCCTTGTAAAAACTCTTCACTGCTTTCAGTAACCTACCTCCTATACCATACACCTGCAACATCTGCCACATTGCCCCCTTTTCCACCCTGTCCATAAATGCCACAAAAACCTCTTTAGACTTATCTAAATACTGTTCACTTATATGTTTCACTGTAAACACTTGGTCCACACACCCCCTACCTTTCCCAAAGCCTCCTTGTTTATCTGCTATCCATTCTCCGTCTTTCTCTTAATTCTTTCAATAATAACTCTACCATACACTTTACCAGGTATACTCAACAGACTTATCCCCCTATAATTTTTGCACTCTCTTTTGTCCCCTTTGCCTTTATACAAAGGAACTATGCATACTCTCTGCCAATCCCTAGGTACCTTACCCTCTTCCATACATTTATTAAATAATTGCACCAACCACTCCAAAACTATATCCCCACCTGCTTTTAACATTTCTATCTTTATCCCATCAATCCCGGCTGCCTTACCCCCTTTCATTTTACCTACTGCCTCACGAACTTCCCCCACACTCACAACTGGCTCTTCCTCACTCCTACAAGCATTGTCTTCCAGAACTGGCCTGTTTCATCACAATTGAACACTTGTTGGGGTTGGAAATTTTCAGCTTCCCATGCCTTATCACACTGTGTATACCACTACAATTCTTAAATCTCTCAAACCAACCTTTGCTGGCCTTAAATTCACCAATATGAGCACTAGTTCCAGGCATTTTTTCCTGTTCACCTGGGTGTTAGTCAACTGTTGTGGGTCGCATCCTGGGGGACAAGATTAAGGACCCCAATAGAAATAAGTTAGACGGTCCTCGATGAATGCACTGGCTTTCTTGAGTTATCCTGGGTGGCTAACCCTCTGGGGTTAATCGTTTCTCGGTAATTGTTTCCCGTTAAGCCACACGTGGTGCAGCCACTTGGGTTGAAGCTCTCTGTATGTTCCAGTTAAGCTGACTGGTCCAGCAAGCAGCTAACTGGTCCAGCAACAGCTGACTGGTCCAGCAACAGCTGACTGGTCCAGCAACAGCTGACCGTGGTGCAGCAACAGCTGACAGTGGTGCAGCAGCAGCTGATGGTGGTGCAGCAACAGCTGTGGTGCATTATTATTATAATCAAGGGGAAGCGCTAAACCCGTAGGATTATACAGCGCCTGGGGAGGGGATGTGGAAGGCATTCAGGCTTAATTTGGGGAACTGGAGCACAGATCCAATTCCCTAAATCAAAAGCCCCTCACCAACATCAAGGAATCTTCCCTGAGGGGAGCTGTGGTGCAGCAACAGCTGACCATGGTGCAGCAACAGCTGACTGTGGTGCAGCAGCAGCTGACCGTGGTGCAGCAGCAGCTGACTGTGGTTCAGCAACAGCTGACTGTGGTGCAGCAGCAGCTGACCGTGGTGCGGCAACAGCTGACTGGTGCAGCAGCAGCAGCTGATGGTGGTGCAGCAGCAGCTGTGGTGCAGCAACAGCTGACCATGGTGCAGCAGCAGCTGACTATGGTACGATAGTATTTCTCACCCTTTTTACCACAGGGTTGGCACTAGAAGCTTTCTTTGGGCCCATGGTGGCTTATTTAGCAGTTACAAGCACTATAAACAATGGAATAATACAAAATGTATCGAATGTATGCATGCAACTGGCCACCCTGGCTTGTAAACAATGATGGCAGTCCAGCTGATGTGCACAGGCTGGACGAACAGGTTTGGGAGGAATAATGTTTGGCAAGTTTTTTATCATGAGGCGAGGCAAATTTTTTGCATTAAAATGTATCGTATAGCGGATTTAACGTAACACGATGCCATCGTATGGTGGGGTTCCACTGTATATATATTTATGTATATACCATCATCATTTAATCTATGTCTTGCCAGAAGTGTGCTGACACTACAGTTCAGATGGTCCTCTGAGCTGCAACATCCTCACCCCTCCTTCAGAGTGCAGATTCAAGTCAGGCTTTACAGTTGTCCCCTGAATCTCCATGAGGATACAACTGTAAAACAGTGATTTACTGAACATAGGTTGTGTCATACATGGAAAAGCCCATAGTTCCCTAAAGGGGCTTTTTTGGGAAGGGGACAAAAAGGATAAACACCCCTTTAAAAAAATAACTTGACAGAATAGATAGCAGATTTTTTTTTAGATTAAAAAGATTAAAAAGTTTAACTCCCATAATTTTCTACTCCCAGTAAAACCCTCCCAAATTTTTTTTTTAATTCGGGGTTTGGAAAAATTTGGGAAAAATGCACCTTTTTTATGGGTTTAACCCAAAAATTTAAGTTTAATTTACAAAAATTTTTTTTCCGGGGTTTGTTTTTTTTTTTTTTTTTTTTTTTTTTTTTAAGTTTGGGCCATGCCCCCTTTAAACTCCCCAAACTAAACAGCAGGGGTTTGCTTATTCAAAATGTGCTCAAGGGAAACCCCCCCTCAAGTAAGGTTCCTTGATGTTTGGAAAGGGTTTTCGACCCAAAAAAATCGGGACATAATTTGAACCCTTTACGATTTACGTTTACAGGACCCCCCTTGGAATGCATACCTAGGGGAATTTGGTGGACAAATTGTATTTAATTTGTTTTGTATAGAAAAATTTCCCAAAAATTTTTCCAGGTCCCAAATTTTTTATACTGTTTGGCACGATTTTAGTGGCGGGAAATTTGGCAAGTTTAAACCAATTTTGACTGCATTCCCAATCCCAACCCCCCCTTTTAAAACCTCCCAACCCTCCCAAGAGTATCCACAATGTCATTTTCTTCTTCCTTTCGCCTGAGAGATAATTTGGAGTATAGGTGAAGGAATCCCCCCAAGGTCTGGGGTTTGGGTTTTCCGGAAAAAATATGCACCGGGTACCCCAAAAACCAGAGCCCAAAAAATAAATATTTGTCGCTTGCAAAAAATTATATTTTAGAGAAAAATTCTACATATGTAAAGTACTTTTACTGCATATATAAATGCCCCTATTTTTTTTTAATAAAATAGGGCCCCAAATTTATTACAGCACTGATAAATTTTAAGACCAAATTTTGGGCCCAAATTTTCCCACTTTTACAGGGGGAAAATTTTTAGATGTTCCGACCATTTTGCCTCTAAGTGAAAAGTTATTTAAAACGGGGAAATTGGGGACTTTCATTCTTCCCCAACCCAAACCATTTTCTTTTTTACTCCCATTTTTTTTATTTATTTTTTTTTTTATTTATTTTTAATTTGAGGCCACAAAAAATTACGAGGTCCCCAAAAAAATTTCGGGTTAAAAACATTTTATCCCAAACCCCAAATTTATTACTATGCATGGGCATTACGGGCTGGTTTAAAAATTAAATTTAAGATTAATAACCCAATGATGAAATTCAGTAAATTAAAACTTTTAAATTTGTAAACAGCTTTACTATAAACCCACAAGTGAGTATTACAAAGACAGGTCAATGGTTGATTCAGTTGGGTTTATGTTTCCCTTTTAAAGGTTTAGTGCATTTAAAAAAAAAAATAAATTTAGATTCTTTTTTTGGTTTAACTTTTAAAGTGTTTAAAATTTGTGAGAAACTTTTAAAAGTTATACAATTTAAAAGGGTTTCCCTTTAATTCATTTATTTATTTGGTTTTTTGGGTGGGAAGTGATTTTTTGAGAAGAGACTTAAATTTTAAAAAAACAGGTGTGTTTTTTTTTATTTTTACGGTAATAAAATTTTCCAGATTTTAGGGCCTTTTAGTCCCATTAAATTTTTGCTAGTGTGAGATGGACACGGGGAAACTTTCAAAGGGTGATCTTTTGGCCTTGTTTTTATGGTCAGGGTTTTTTCTTTTGGGAGGTTGGAAAGGGGAATGTTTGAGGGGGGGGTTTTAAATTATCAGATTTAAAGTGTTCTATGTATGTAATAGGGTGCAGTAAAAAGTAGGGAAAGTTTTGTTTGGTGGTGGGGTTTGTGAAATTAAAATTTTGGGTGGGAAAAGTGTGCCCCCCTTGTAGTGGGGAATTTTTTTTTCCTTTTAAAAACTGCACCCTTTTTTTGAGTAATTTTTTTTTTGAGATGGTTAATTTTGGTTTTAAAGCCCCATGCAAAATTTTCCTTTAGGTGAGATGGGGTAAAAAAAGGAAGATTGAAAAAGGGCCAGGGGGCCCTGATGGGGAAACATAGAAACCGTATCTTCGATGGGAAAGGGCCCCTACAGTCTTGGAAAATTTTTTAAAAAATTTGTTGTATTGTGTAGGGAAAATTTGAGTTTATTATAAAGGTGGTTTCCAAAGGGAATTTTTCCCCCTCGGGTTAGTTTTGTGATAGGTGACCCGTTTATATTATTTTTTAAGAGGGGCCCTTCTGTAGCTTTTGTTACCCAAAACGGAATAAAGGTAGGTTTTGCCCAATGTTTGTTTTTAAGTTTGTTAGCCCTTTTCCAGGTTGATGATTTTCTGTAATTCGGTATTTCCCAGTATTGGTTAGCGGTGTGCGGGGGCTGGGTTTTGAGAGAAGACGTTTTGTAGGGGTTCGGGAAAAATAGTGTGGGTTTAAGGGGAATTGGGGAAAGCTTTGGGAAGGTCATTTATGTTGGAAAAAGGGAAAAAGGGGGCCCAAAGGACACCCCCCTGTGGGACACCAACAAAGGGGTTGCGCAGAAGAGTTTCCCCCCTTTGGGGTTAAACTTTTGGGCCCTTCTGTTGTGAGGTTGACTTGGGGGTAGTTGGGGGAGTGCCCTTTTACCATAGTGTGAATTTTACTGGAGGGGGGGTCATGGTCAACTGTATCAAAAGCTTTCGTAAAGTCAATGAAGATCCCCAGTGGATTTTCTTTTTTCTCTATTGCTTTGTATTTTATGTTCTAGATGTGTATAATGCATCATTGTATTTTTAAACCCTTTGAAAGCCAAATTGGCAGGGGTTGATTTTATTTTTTGGGAGAAAAGGGGTGGGGAAGTGGGATTGGGTTTATGAATTAATTTTCAAAGTTTTTTTAAAGAGGGGGTTTTGTAATTTGGTTTTTGGGCCCTATAGTTATTCAAACTCTTTTGGGGTCTCCCCCTTTTGGGTGGTTCGGGGGGGACCCCTTTGCTATTTTAGAAATGTAGGGAAGGTGGGGGAAATTTCAATGGATTTGTTAAAAGAGTGTTGCAAGTTTGGGGGGAATAGCATTGTGACTTTTTTTTGTATAAAAAAGGGTTTGGTAAGGTATTTAAATCTCCGCTTGTTTTTTATGCTTAAAAAATAAGGGGGGATTCTTTATGGGTTTGTCGGGCTGGGAAACAGAGTGTTCGGGGTTTTTTGCCGGGTGAGGTATTCATTGACCCACGATTTTGTAAAGGGGAAAATTTGCCCAGGTCGAGAAACACATTAAAATTTGTTTTTCCCAATGTTGTAAAGCAGAATTGGTTGACATCAAAATTTTTAAATGCCCAAAGCACCTGAAAAACCATTCCCCTCAAAAATTTCCCTTGAAAAAAAATTATATACGGGCCTCTCCTCACTTGACGATGGAGTTCTTTTTCTTAAGGCCACTCAGTAAACAAAATTCTTTGCTAAAGTGAGGGGCATTTAAAATGGAAAGTGGGTTTTTTGTCAACCATCTTTAATATTGTTTTAATGCTATTTTGCACCATTTTAAAAAATTTCAGGTATATTTTTAAAGTTTTACATTAGTGTATTTTACATTATAAAAAAAAACTAAAATAGGGGGAAATTTCGTTTTAACCCCTTTCCCGATTTGTCGCGGCCATATTTCCCGGTTTACGAGGGTTTCCCGTGTTTGACGTAAACTTACTCAAAAATTCTAGCGGCTTAAAAAATAAAGCAGGAAAAAGCTGGTAGGCCACATGTGAGAGAAGGGGGTTCTGTGTGGTAATTGTGCCCCAAAATAAAAAAAAATCCTGGAGCACCCCTTTGCATAATGAAAAAAAAAAAAAACGGGCCCTTTTTTTTTTAATTTAAATGCCGTTTTGTGGTCTATTTTCGATAGTTTTTTTGGTTTTGGAATTCCGTTTTTTGGTTTTCATTTGTAGAATGGTTTAACATGTTTTGGGAAATTAGGGGTGTTTTTGTTTGGGATTTTACTTTTTAAAAAAAAAAAACCTAGAAATGGGAGCTCAAAGTAGGGGAAATTTTTATTTTTGCCAATTTTAAAAAGAAAAACAAATGATGCCATTGTCCAATAAATGTCCAACTAGCCTTTTAAATATGCATTTCATAAATGGGTTGATGTTATTTATAAAATTTTTAAACATTTATTGAAATTGTTCAAAAATTAGAAAAGTCTTCTATTTTTTTTTTTGAAAAAAAAAAATTAAAAATAGAAAGCAAGAGGTAATATCAGGGGGGCCTGGGGGACGTGACTGTTAAACCAAAAGAAAATTTTATTTTGAGCCGGGGAATGTCTGCATTTTTTCATTCTGGCCCTTATTTTAAAACTTGTCTATTTTTTAGTTTTCTTTTAAAATTTGGGCCCCAAATTAAAAATTTCTGACCAAAATTATTAGGTAGTTGAAATCGGTAAATGGGCAGTTTTTTGTACTCAATCATAAAAAAAAAGGGAAATTTTCAAAAGAAATGCTTGAGTTTGGGAACTGGAAAAAGGGAAATTTAGCCGAAAATAGGGCTAAAAGGGGGGAAAATTCGCCGTTTTTAAAAACAGCACCGAGGTCGCAAAGTTCGCGAGAGCATTTAAATTTCCCTCGTTTTCCCTCAAATTTTGTTTTTTTTTTGGGGTTTATTACAATCGGGAAAAAATTTTTTATCATTTCATAAGAAAAAATTAAATTTTTTTTTTTTTTAAAATTTTTCGACACCAGGAGACACCTCAGGATTGGGGGTTGCGACAAACAAAAAGGGTTTAAATTTTCATTATTTTGGTAAGCATACTGGGCCGGTTTTCCATTCAAGTCCCAGTTGTCGGGAAAAAGAAAGTCGTTAATTTAGGAGAGGCTTTTAAAAGTGGAAAACCCCAAAAAACCCAAAAATGCTCCCAACACAAAAACCCAATTTTGCAAGGTATTTTTTTAAATGCTTTTATAGTGTATTTTTTAGGGGCTGAAATGGACCCAATTAAATTTTAAATTTTCCTGATGGGAATAAATTATTCAGTTTAAAAGGGAAATCGAACCCGACTTCCCGGACCCCAAAAAAAGTTCGATTTTTGGGTTCCCCCTGTATATTGTATCCAGTGTAGTATATATTTTAAAATTTCTTTTAAAAAAACTTTGACACAGAAAGTAAATAGATAAAGATAAAAGAACTTTTTTTCCAAAAAAGATAATTTGGGGGTTTCAACAGTAGGTTAACAGTGTATTTTATCCTTTTAAAAAAGGGAAAAACAAAAGGGGTTTTTGGAAAAGCAATTTCCCACTAATTCCATAAAACTGTTACCCACATACTCATCACCCTCCCCTTTATGTTATTCATATACATTACAGGGACCCCCGACCCCGAGGGATCGTCTAAAGTTTTAAATCCCCACTAGCAATACCCTTTTAAGCAAAAAAATTTTTCCTCGACTAGCGCTAAAAAAAAAATGACCAAAAGCGATTGTTTGTTTTGAGAGTGTCCACTTGTGGGGCCCGAGGCGCCAGTGTTTACAAACCAAATAGCCACCGTTTGGTCCCCTCCCCAAAAATTTCAAACGGAACATTTTCGTATTTTTCACAGCCGGGTTTTTTGTGGATTGCACCCGCCAAAAAAAAGCACCTGGGCCCCAAAGGGAAAACTTTTTAGTGCCAAAACCCCCAGCAAAAAGGGGGGGGGGGGTTTTAATGGGTTTTTTAAAGGGAAAATGATATTGAAGATGAAATTTCGATAAAATGGGGTGGTTTTCCGGGGGCTGGCCAGGTTTTT